GTTTTGGATATGGGGTAGTTGTGCATTTATGAACGGGTCTTAACAACTATTTGACACAGAACGTTCAAATTTGAGGACACTATAGAGGAAAGATAGAAATCTACAACCTTCTCCGCGTTGAATATCAAGCTCCTTTATAGTATTCGGTACACCCGATACCAAAGTGTTCCCAACACCAAAAGTATAGGTTAATTTAAGTGTGTACGAACTTACAACTTCCACATGTCCTTAGTTTGCCCTATTTTCTGATTGGTTGCCAAGCTTCATTCACATTGGTCAAGAAATAGAGCAGATCGAGGTTGAGAAAGTTACTCACTTACGTTCCGACCTGATAAAAAAATTCACCCGCAAACGAGGACCAAATTTTCGCAGCGCACAGAAGTCAGAGACCTAACCCTAACCCAAGCCCTAACCCTCCCCTCAATTCTACTCTGTCTCGTAGTGGTCGCTCCTTACAGAAGTCCAGCATTAGACAGGACTTACTTGAAACTGAAACTTATTTAGGGCCGACTCTATTTCTCAGAACGCTCGAGAAAATAAACTTGAACTCTATTTCTCCAAACAGTCAGTTCACGTTCTCGAGATTTGTTGATTATTTGCGAATGGAGTGTGTGTGTGTGTGAGTGTGAGTGTGTGTGTGTGTGTGTGTGTGGGGTGGAGGGATTTTCTTTTTGTTTACATGGAGGATTGTAGTTTTTACTTTAGGGGTGACTAAATGCAAAATAGGTTACTGCCAAAGTCGAGCAGTCTTGTTCCCTCGCAGAATGGCAAAATTAAAGATGACGCCGAAATCTCTCAAATAACAAAAAAATCTTGAGAACGGAAACCGTTCGGAGAAATAGAGGTCAAGTTTATTTTCTCGAGCATTCGGAGAAATAGTTTCTCCGTAAAAATAATTACAATATCAGCAATCAATCTCTCATATGTCTTCCAGATCTAGCTAGCAGCTGACAAAAAGAGACCGGCGCTTGTAGACATTTAACTCACATGCACATTCACACAGACTTACACAGAGTGACAATGACTATGATTGAATGCTAACGATTTTTATTTAACTTAAGAAATAAATGAGTAATATTGACTCGAATTAGAGTTGTGTCCATTGGGAGGGAGGGGGGAGGGTGGTGGTGGTTGAGCAGTTGGGCATTATATATCAAAAATAAAATAAAGTTGACAGACCAAAAGGGGTCAATTCTGACTGTAATACACCAAGAAAAATAGACCTGCCACTCTATGAAATCTAACAGTCAGGATCTCAGTGGGGGGGAAAAAATTTTGGACTTGGTGAAAAAAATCGAGATCAACGACAAATCACTTAGGTTACTGCCAAGCTGACTTTTAAAATTTCCAAGGGTGTCCATTATTACATCCATGTATTCCCTCTGCGCGGACACGCATGTGTGGTGTATGTATGTGTGTGCGCAAGCATGTGTGTGTGTTTGCGTGTGCCTGTGTGTGTTTTATCGTTATTTCTTTTTTAATCCTGAAGTATAACGTCAAGCTCTCCTAGTCCAAGTGTTTTACATGTCTCCCCTTCCCCCCGGATAAGTCGAGAAAGACGCTTCAACCTCTGCGCATGAACTTAAAATGACCCCGTCAACGGATGATCGCCCCCACACGCCGAAGTCATGTCACGTGGCATGAACGCGCGATTGAAACAGTTTTATTGAAGGGTCTTGATGACGGGCCCGACTAACCAAAACTCAGACAAAGCATGTTTTGGCAAAAGTAGATCTTGAGAATGTCTTAAGTCGGAATGCCAAATCAATACTTTTTCATTATAGTTGAAATAACACGTGTGAGCAAAGATTCAACACAACTGTTGGTGAGTCAACTACTATTTCTAAGAAAGACATTTAGAAAAATAGTGCTCCAAGTTTCTGCTGACAAAAAATTTAATGAAGTTTACCATAAGTTGATGTTTTGCAGTTGTTAGGTTTGTTATCTTAGCTCGCCGCGCATCAAATATGTATAGATCTAGATGTAGATCTAGCCTCAAATAAGGGGGTGGGAACTACCGAAAAAGCACCCAAAATTGCACGCTTTCAACACAAGAGCGCAGGAACGTTTGTTCACGGTGAACGCTACACTGATTGGCCTATCATGTTGAAGGCACATCGGGTGAGAATAGCCAAAAGGCCCGCCTGCGCTATTCTCACCCGCGGTGAGAATAGAGGTGGCCTTAAATAAGACAGTAAACCAAGTTTGGACCAAAGGGTGAAGGAATCTCTTAAGACACTTAATTTAACACTTTCCCTACAATGAGCCGCATTTTGCGGCTCGCGGACCTGACCTCACTCGATGGACCGAGAGCTGCAAAATACGGCTCGAGTGGCTTGCTATCTATTCCAATCCAGTAATGAAAAGACACGAAATTCTTGGCCGGTCCATGTTTTCGAAATGATAGAATAGACTTCCTGTTAGCAGATACAAAAGAAAATATAGCACTGAGAGACGATTTTTAGTCATTTCAGTGCTTTTTTTGTCCCCTTCAAAACGTAAATAATGAGGGGAAAAAAGCGCTACCCTGACTTCAGTATATGTCTCATATTTTCACTTCTATATTAGGTACACATACATAACTTTCAGCATTTCTTTGCATTACTTGAGGCAACCTACATGGGAAGTTTGAAAAATGCTGCTGTTGTACATTTTTAGAAGACCTTTCAAAGCTGGAAAATTGTTGATTTCATACGACGCCTTCGATATAATTGCATAATAATCACTTTTACAAACCCCAAAGTAATAGATCTAAATCTTCAATATTGTATCACCATCTGATAGATTATTTTTTAACTTCAGTTTGATGGGCCATATGCTATGGTTTGAGTGTGTTTAGTTGGATGTTTTGACATTTTCCTCTGGTGGGGTAGGGGCGTAAAAATAGGTCAGAGAAAAGCCCTGGGCCAGTGGTGGATTTTGGCCTGGACTGGTAGGAAAAGACATGCGATTAAACGTAGAAAGACGCAAACTATTTTTAGGTACAGTGCCCATCTTGGATTCCCCTCCGATCACGTGACTACATTTAAGTATAGCCAACCGCATGGCACCAAAGATGGAATTGCCGTAAAGACGCTGGAAGATTATATCTAGATCTACCCCCCCCCCCCTTCTCCTGCAGTCTTCATCACTAATACATTAAAAAACAAACAAACTTCAAAGCAGCTCTACAAATTATAATTTATGGGACTGTTGGTCAGTCGGGAGGAGGAAAAGAGAAAAAAAAAAAAATAGCCCAGGACCGGAATCGAACCGCTCCTAAAATCATTGCATGACTTCTAACGCAGTTGCGCTGTCTATTCGGCCATTAGAACTTCCGAGAGCGTGGTGTAGATTAAGCGTCATAGTCATAATCGCATGTTAGGAAAAGAGTTTAAAAGTCAAGTTGGCCTGAAAAAGGGAGCCCTGGTGCCCTGCCCTAAAGATTATCAAATATAAAATCAAAGTTTTTAAATGAAGTGTATACAGACCCGGTAAACAGGAACAAAGTCACCAAGTATACAGACCCGGTAAGGGAACTCTTTTGTGATTTCGGAAAGTTTCAGCGCCAGACCCGGTAGTGTGTATGCGTGTGTGTGAGAGAGAGAGAGAGCAGGGGGAAGTGCTAGCAAAATGTGTATGACATGCCCCAGTTGGCAGGAGGGAACGAGAGAAAAATATACAGACGTCTAGTGGGAAATAAGTGGGGAGAAAGAAAGACAGAGACAAACAAAGAAAAAGAGAAAAAAAAGAATGCGAGCGACAGAGCAAGAGAGAGAGAAATAGAGAGGATGACTGCTCGAGAGAAATTATAATGACATTGTTCATTTCTTCAAATTGTGATTCCTCCAACTCCAAAACGGAGGAAAAACGATCGTTTATCGAAAAGACATCCGCAATCTTCATTTAGATCTAGAAATCTAGATCTAGATCTAGATCTAGATGTAGATCTAGGCTAGCCTCGAAACTAGATCAAGGATTTCTGTCTGTCTAGATCTAGATCTAGACCTAGCCTAATAGAAGCCATAGATCTACTAGAAGAACCTAGATCTAGGTCTACCCTGGGCCAAGAGGGCGCTGAAACTTTCCAAAATCACAAAAGAGTTCCCCTACCGGGTCTGTATACTTTGTGACTTTGTTCCCGGTTATCGGATCTGTATACACTCCCGTTTTTTAATCTAGATATAGATCATAATCTAAATCTAGATTATAGATCTAGACTAGACCTAGAAAGATATCTAGATTATAGATCTAGAATATATATCTAGATCTAGATCAATATAATATTATTAACGTTTTTACACCCATAATTTGATATTTTACAGTTAGATCTAGATTTGAAATTGTCTTGAAAATAATTGATTTGCGACAGTTTTAGTGGCTTTATGTGTGATCTGCAGCAAACAGTACAGCAGTTTGACCCCTGAAACAGTGCATCTGTGTGCGGGAGTGAAAGTAAAAATTTACCTGTGATTCCTCCAAGTCCAAAAAACGGAGGATTAACGATCGTTCATCGAAAAGACATCCGCAATCTTCATTTAGGTCTAGAGATCTAGAATCTAGATCTATATCTAGATCTAGAGATCTAGATTCTAGATCTAATTCTAATCTAGATCTATATCTAGGCTAACCTCGAAACTAGATCAATGATTTATGTCTGTCTATCTAGACCTAGGCCATAGATCTAGATCTAGAAGAACCTAGATCTAGGTCTAGGTCTAACCTGAGCCAAGAGGGCGCTGAAACTTTCCGAATTCACAAAAGAGTTCCCCTACCGGGTCTGTATACTCCGTGACTTAGTTCCCGGTTACCGGGTCTGTATACACTCCCTAATATGCTTTTAATAACTTTTATATTTTATAAACTACAGTCACTACAGTTACAGATCTAGATCTAGATTCTAGATCTAGATTTAGATCTAAATCTAATGGTGGTGTCTGCTAAAATGTTCAAAGTAATCAAAGACGACAAAGAGGCCCGGTTAGGCTACACACTACAATACTACAATTTACAAAAATTACCGTGTGCTATGAGACAATGCTGTGTATCCGTCAAGCAAGTGGGTGTTTACATCTAGATGTCAAGTAGAAACACTTGTTCTCTGAGCGCACGGATGGACACACATGTGTCCTTCTCTAATCTAGATTCTAGATCTAGTGTTTAGATTTGACGCACCATATCAGATTGCTTCAGGTCTAGGCTAAGAAGGCTGTGTACTTCTTTTAAATGTAATCTCTCTCTCTCTCTCTCATCTCATGCGCGGAAGGAAAGTAGTAAACTTTTGTCATAGAAGAACTTCAGACTCGTCATGCGTGTTGGTCGTCGGCACAGAATTCTACACTTGTAGAATTCTGTGGTCGTCGGCAAACTTTACTTTTTATGTTTATATTATTATTATTATTATTATTATTATTATTATTATTATTATATTAGTAGTAGTATCTGTAGAATATTGTATTCGACATATCGTGATGCCACTTTTGTCTTCAGGTGATGGCGATGGATTAGACATCAGCAGTCATGGTTGCCACTAATAATTTCATCCAGCATTCACAACGGTGTAATTGGTGAAGGGCGGACAACAATTTTTAAATAACAAAAACAAAAATTATTGACTTTAAAAACCCTGGGGGAGGGGGGGGGTCTAGAGATAGGCCTTGTTCAGTTCACCCCTTTTACAAAAGGTCCTGGGTGCGAAACCTGACAGAGACGGAAAATTTCCTTCTTTAATTAAAAAAAATGTTCTCCTTTCACTTAAAATTTCACCTTGCCTGCTCTTTATATAGAATCTAGGCCTAGTCATGTTCTGTCGTTGGCTTTCGTTGCCTTACACCCCCACCCCCACCCCCACCCCCTTCCCTGCCACTTCTTCTGGGCTGCTTAGGCTACTTTAACCTTCTTGGTCAAACCAAAATCCAGGAGTTCACACTAGAGCGCATGGGCAGAGCCGTAGACCTGGGTAGTCCTTTAAACATGTCTCGTCTTTTGGGGGATTGATTTTATAGAATAAAAGAAACTGCCTCGAACAGCTTCGTTAGAGAAATTGAACAGTAGTTTTAGGGCAACGTTTTTATTTTTTGTTGTTGTTTTTTGTGTTTGTTTGTTTGTAAATGGCGATTAATGAAAAAAGCGACAACAAATAGAAAAGCGTGCATGCTCAAAGACTGGGAAGATATGAAAGACATTTGACTCATTGTATGTATATATCACAATTACATAATAAACGTACTGTCACCCACTTGGACTGACAACCCAGTCTTGCGGCACACGCAGTCCGTTCGAAAGAAGCAAAAACTTACACTCAACTACCGTTCTTGGTCTTCAAATCTAAGAGCCCCGCTCAGACTTTAATTAAATACAAATGACTATACAGAAAACACCTCTTAATATTTGTCGCAAATACACGAAAATCGTGATTTTTTAAAAGGTCTTTTGGAATTCAGAGAATCAGAGCAATTCGCCACTTTGATTTTGAGTAATGAGGTCGACAAGTTGTCCATTTTGGTGTAGGCCTGCCTATATCATGTTCACTTTCGTCTGACTGCGGTTAAAATAAGGTAGAACGAAATATTGTCCTGTTTAATTAATCTTCTCAGATATTTGCAAATGGGTCTAAAATTTGAATGATCAACAGAATTTAAAAGCCCATTCATAAAGGTCACTGCAAACTAAGGTTCCGACACGTTTTCTTTGACGAAAGTCTAAAGCTAGGGAAAAAAATAGGGGATTAACAGTATACACCTAAAACATTTTTAAAATTGACGTATTATTTTCCTCAACACCACTCTTCAACGTTCGCCAAAGAAACATGATTCAAGAGACGGGGTGAGTAATTTTCGAGACTCACGTGAAGACGTCTAGACAGCTGGGGGGTGAAGTTTAAAAGCATGATGGTGTCGCTGTCTCAAAATAAGCAATTTTTCTGCGGCGATTTCAATGCATGAGGGTGTGGCTGGGGCGATAAAACCACAAACCATAAAGGAGTTGTTCTCGGGGACGCCCTAGACTTCTGCAAACCTAACATGCTTCAACGATGGAAGCATTACAAGATTGGCTTAACGAGCGGGTGACAACTGGTGGGGGTATTGGCCTGGCCTTAGTCTCTCTACAAACTGTCACAGATTGTACATGGCGGGTCCTTGGGTATCATGGAAGCGACCACTTGCCACGCACAGTGCTTGTCAGGCCTATGAAACCCGCCAAAACCGCCAAGAAGACAAAGGCATTTGGGTATGAGGTCACGGGAAAAGACCCTATCAGCAGTCTAAGGAAGAAGGCAATCCCAGTCAGGAGGATGAAGCAGGTTGAAATCGCCTCGCCGCCGTGGGGGAAGGATGAGCTGGACAAACTGAGGAGAGCAAAAAAGGGAGGCGTTGCTAGCACATCAACGCAACCGTGAGAACCTAGACCTGAAAAGAGCAGAGAAAGAAGCTTCAGGGCTGTTCAATGTCGTGGCAAAAGAGACTAAGGACGCCATTTATGAAAATTTGTGTTAAGAGGTGACAAAGGACAAGACACTCTACAGATTCTGGCAGCTGTACAGATCCAAGATGAAAAGTGAAGCAGGCCAAAGGAGGACGATGTGTGGGCGCCGTCAGACAAGGAGAAAGATGAGGCGCTGTTTGCCCGAGATAAGCAGACAGACTATGAGGCAACGAAGAGGAACGAAAAAGGCTCCAGCGGTACGCCAATGAACTTCTGAACTACACCTTCAGTCACGATGACTTTGTGAGAGAACAATCAAGCTTTCTCCCAAACCGCCCCAGGCCCAGATGGTGTACGGTTCTCTCACACGAAAAACCTTGACGAGGATAGCATCAGGGACCTTACAGAAATTCTAAACATGAGTCTTTGGAACAGAGAGATACCGGAAGACTGGTTGGACATCCACTTAGTATCACTCCCCAAGCATGACAAGGACCAGAGTAAGATATAGCTGCTTATCGAGTTATCACGATGCAACATTGCGTGAGCAAGCTCTTAGTTAAGGAGGTGGGGTACTCGATTGCAAAGGAGCCAGAAAAGGAAGAGGCACTTCCAGCAACTCTGGGTAGCTACAGATGGGGAAAGGAAACGTGGATGGATACCGCTGGTCTAGCATCAGAAGTTTATGTCATGGGGGTTTTGAAAGAGGCGAGGAGACCCTGATAGCAGCGCTTGACCTCGAGGATACGTACAATAGGGTTGAGTGTGATGTTCTTTTGAGAACAATGATCAACCTGGAGATTAACCCCCAGCTCATGATATGGATAGGTGATGCATTGCGGAAGAGGAGAGTTGCAATGCGGCTGGGAAACTGGACATCAGACACCAGAAGCATCACACTGAGGTTGCCGCAGGGCTCACCACTCTCATTCAACATATTATACACAATTGGAACCATTTCTGGACAACTAGAAGACCAAGGGCATGCGCTGAGCTTTGCAGATGATGTCCTTGCGTACATAGTAAGGACCGGCAAAAAACAGCTAACGTGGTGTAACAGGAACTGGATCGAATTGGGCAATGGTGTATAGACCACAACGGCAAACTACACCCCGACAAGGCCTGTTTGCTGTGGTGCCCGCTGAATAATCACGCAGTAAAAGCAGAGATGCCCACGGTCACCATCAACGACAGGGTCCTGAAGCGTGAGCACTCACCGAGGTACATGTATCTAGCTATCACCTTTGACAGATCACTCTCAGGTAAAGATCACATAATAAGATAAGATAAGATACATCTTTATTGTCCAAATCCTGGCATATTGGTTTGGTGTTTCACCACGTGTACACACACACACACACACACACACACACACACACACACACACACACACACACACACACACGCACACACATGCACACACACGTAGGCTTACAATCACATGCATAATATAAATGAGCAGCAATATAAACAATAATAATAGTAAGCTAGATACACACTCAATGTTATTTTGATGCATGCTCCAAGGTCGTAAGTATACTTATACAAGATGTTTAAGGTGGAAGCATTTTGATAGATGATGGTAAAAATGACGTCTATATTTTTCTTTGTAACAGATCAGAAGCCTTGGTCTTTTACTTATGGCTGATGTTTTTATTTGAGGGAACAAGGGATGTTTATCTAGAAAGATAGAATTTTTTTTTTTTAGGGCAAGTTGTTATGTACAATTGATCCAAGTAGGGGAATGTAGAAGTAGAAATTTTACATGCTTTCCGTATTAGTCGATTTAATATTTTTTTATCTTGTTGTCTTGTGTTCCCGGCCCATGCTGTTATAAAAAAAATTATCACACTTTCTATGTTTGAATGGTAGAACATGGACATCAATGTTTAATCGACTTCAAGATAAGAGCAAGACTGCACTGAATACCATGACGTGTAACAGAATGCCACAGAGAATTTTAGCCATACTATACCAGCCTCTTGTGCTGTCTGTGATAGACCATGACCTCGGTCTCCTCACTTTGTCAACGTCGAGGTTAAAACGCCTTGAAAGAATTCAGAGCAAAGGTATGCAGACTGTTCTCGAGTGCACACGAGACACATCCTGCAAGGCAATGCGTTATCTCCTGGACATCCCAGCCATTGCAGAACGTCACAAGATTGCTCAGGTGAAAGCGTAATTGAGAGTCAGCGCCGATGATCAGCATTCTCTGCATGACAAAGTGGGAAGAACTGTACGCACACATCTGCTTAGAGGGGCTGAAGGGATTTAAAGCAGCAACGATTTTTGGTGAAATGCTGAATAATGTGCAAGACACCCGAAAGGGCAGCGCATGGGTCAGCGTCACTGACTCACTTGGGCAGTATACTCGAGTGATAGCAACCTTAGGCAGAGAATGTCGTGAGTGGCCAGAGGGAGCACCCAATGCTGGGGTAGAGACGCTGATAGAGAACAGTGAACAGGGAGCGACGTAGTCATCTTCACAGATGGATCAGTATAGCCTGGCGTCAAATCTGGATGGGCTTTCAGCGTCCGTGTAAACGTGGTTATACAGAGTGAGCTGTCAGACGCCACTTGTATAACCACGTCCAGCATGTGCATGGAGATAAAAGCCATCACAGAGGCCCTTAACTGTATTAAAACGAAGGAGTATCAGTCTGCCATCCTCGTCACTGACTCAAGTTGTACCCCCGAAAAAGTGAAGAAACACATGATGTATGCAGACTGGTGAGAGGCAAAACGAAGCAGCAGACTCACAAGGATTGTATGGATCTTTAACCCTAGTTATGCAGGAGTTCGAGGCAATGAACGTGCTGATAAGCTAGCCGGCCAGGCTGAAGTTGGCGGCACCATGCA